ACAATAAACAAATTTGCATAGTTAGTGCTCGTGCCACTACAGGAACATTTTGCGTAAGGAGAGGGTAAAGGCCCTACTACACCACAGAAACGACCCAAAACATCAACCTCCCTAGTTATAATAACCCCCTCAACTTGCTTTCCCTAGTCCCTTTTTTAAAAAAAAAAAAAAAAAAAGGGGAACGTTAGTCAATTCCCGTCCTCTACTGAACCAATCTGCCCATCCATCATGCCGGAAGACAGAATCAAATCAATTAAGCAGATATGTCACTCACTAAAACAGAAAACTGGGATACGATTTACTGACTACTTTCTCTTGGAGTCGACATTTGGAAGAAAAGAGGTGGCTGCCATGAAGTAGGTGGGAGTGCGAGATATGACACCAGTTTTTAAAGGAATGGTTTAATATACTACTTGTATTTTATTTTAAATGATTTTGTAGTTTCTTGGTGCTGCGGACGAGTGTGATCACCAAATGACATACCTTCAACTGGTACTTATTTCGCCGGAAAATTAAAGACCCGCGAAAAGAAATCCTCGAAATTTAAACACGCGAAATTTAATTTACCTTTAAACAAAATTCGAATCACGGAAAAAATAATTAACAAGTAATGAAAACAACATATACAGGATATGACCGACAAATACACAAATCATAATTAACTAGTTTAAGTGAAAAGTTCCATTTTGTATCTTCTCTTGTAAAATAACATTTAATGTGCAAGTGGGATTTCACATTTGGAGTCGAGAATCAAGATGTAGAGAATCTTTTAAATATGCGTTTTGCATGTTCATTTTATCTAAAATTTTAATAAGTTCAGACTTCTAGGAAAATGAAAGAATGAGAAATGAAGAATGAGGAAAATGAAGTTGAGAATGCTTGAATCGCGAAATTTAACGCCCTTTTTTTCATGTTGGCCTATCGAAATCGCGAAAATAAAACCCCGCGAACGAAATTAATACTATGTAGCTAAAATCGCGAAAATTTAAATACCCCACTCACTTTGTGATTGTGTTATGCATCAATGATGT